CTTCTCATTTTAAAATATATAAATTATTATTTAAACTTTTAAATTTATAATAAATAATTTAAATTGTATCATAATATTAATTTTAAATAGAAATAAGTAGATTGTTAATTATAAAAATAAGTATATATATAAATAAAGATTAATTAAATATAATATAATAATTATTATTATCAGTAATATAATTATTATATATTATTATATATTATAACGGTCCAGACACATCAAAATGAGAAGGATCCAACGATAGTATAAGTTGATATTGTATAGTTGAGGATGAGTTAAATGAATTAATTTGTGCTACTTATACTAACAACATGCATCTGCTTTTCGGTAGCTTATCTCATCAGAACTCCACAATTAAGCGTGCTTGACTTGGAGTAATATAGGACAAAACAATTAAGGACAAGACATGCTGAAAGTGAAGTATTGTGAAATAGAATCCTTGGAAGGGCAAATATGAGTGTTTGTAGCGACCAAAATCATTGCAACCATTTTGCGACCAAATTTTTGGTCGCTAAATAGCGACCAAAATTTTCGGTATCTATATAGCTTTGCAACCAAGGTTTTTGCGACTACTTAAATTCGGTCATTAATTTGGTCACTAAGGTAAATAACGACCAATTTTAGCAATTTAGCGACCGATTTTGGTGGTCGCTGTTGGTTTTCTAAGCAAGCGCACCCAAGTCTCTGTAATATAGTTAAAAGGTTGTCGATCCTCAAGGACTTATTAATTAAGCTTTGATTTCTATTATACTAATTGGTACTTGTAAATTTAAAACTTCAGTAATCACACATATTCAAAATTTGATGTGAATGGTAGATCAAACTTAAGTAACCAAGAGTCAGATTAGATTTAAGAAAAATAGATATGAGAAACAATTGGGATTAGATTTCATCAATCTCCTTCCTATTCATTCCTATTGATTCTTTCAAATGATTCCATTACTCATGGCCATTGAGTTCTCTATATTCATTCAGACCCAATTCCTTGGCATAAGAAATTCTAAGATATTTAACTCAATGAATGATTCCTCACTTCATTCAGTTAAATATCCTGCATTAAGAGTCAGAACTTCTTACAACTATTAATTCCAAAAATCATTCCTGAATTTTGAAACTAATAGGCGATTCGTTCTAAGTCTAGATTAATTCAAACAATGAACACATGGAAAATAATATGCCCCTTTGATGGGTTTCCCATTTTCTCTTGCAAATTCCAAGAACTCTTCAACTCCGTTTCTGTACTCTTGAGTAATGCGACTTGCATTCATCTAACTTCGACGTAAATTAGTCCCTCAATATTTACGGAACTGCCACCGCGTTTTTACAACGTCTGGTGTTCCAGTTTCCGACGTAAATCAGGTGACGTAGTAGCCCTTTTTTGCACTAGTACTTGTTAATTTTAACAAAAGTTATTCAAAATTATATATATTATAATTTTTGATTAGTTAACATTGTAAAATAATTTATTACTATCTCTACATAGTCATTAAACTCTTTAATAAATATAATAATTGATATTATATGAAAAAATATTAATTTAATTAAACAATATATTAATAACATCAAGTGATTTCTCTTCCTTCTTTGATTAAGGAAATTTGGTTTTTGATTTCTATACCTATGATAACCGATATTATGAGATAGGAATAATAAAACTAGGGTAATATTGGGAATGTAAGGTTTAGGCATTTAACCATGTATCAAAAAATTGTTGAGATAATGAAAAATTATTTCACAATCGATCATTATAAGTTGTCATGTATATATAATAAATACAATAATTGATATTATATAAGAAAATATTAGTATAATTAAATAATATATTAATTACATCAATTAAAAATTAATTTCTCTTCCTTCTTTGGCCAATACAATTTCCCGTTTGAGATTCTCTCCCACTTTGCAGTTTGCACCACCTTTTCCCTAAACCACCGTTTTGAAAATTCATACCAGTATATATATACTCTCCCTTCAACCAAAACAAAACATACTACATAACCCATAGGCATAAACATAAATCTATAGCACCAAAATGGACCCTCTCCTAATCGCACTCCTCTCTCTCCTCCCTCTCCTCCTCTTCCTCCTCCACCGCTCCAAGGCCCAAGCCCCGAAAGAGGCCCCCACCATCCCCGGCGCGTGGCCCATCCTGGGCCACCTCCCCCTCCTGGCCCGCTCCCGCTCCACCCACCACCTCCTGGGCTCCCTCGCCGACGCCCACGGCCCACTCTTCACCATCAAGCTGGGCACCCAGAAAACCCTAGTCATCAGCAACTCCCAAATCGCCAAAGAATGCTTCACCACCAACGACGTCGCCGTCTCCAACCGCCCCCACCTCGTCGCCTGCCAGAACATGACCTACAACCTCGCCATGCTCGGCTTCGCCCCCTACAGCCCCTTCTGGCGCGACATGCGCCGCAACGTCGCCTCCGCCTTCCTCGCCGACCACCGCATCGACTCCCTCGCCCCCGTCCGCGTCAACGAGGTCCGAACCTCCGTCAAGGAGCTCTACCAAAAGTTTACTCGTATAAGGTGTTGTTCTTCAATCAATATATTAAAGTATCTTACAAAATTATTTTATAAAATGATTATTGTTTTGATTTATTTATTTTTGTTTGTTTTATTTTTGGTATAATTTAGATTTTTTTAAATATTTTTTTAATGATGTGAAATAGCGACGGGAAGAATGAGTATGTGATGGTGGATATGAAGCAGTGGCTGAAGGAGTTGGCGTTGAACGTGGTGGGGAGGATGGTGGCGGGGAAGAGGTACTTCGGGGAGAAGGCGGTGGTGGAGGAGGGGGAGGCGCAGCGGTGGCTGAAGGCGCTGAGGGAGTACATGAGGCTGATGGGGGCGTTCGCGGTGGGGGACGCGGTGCCGTGGCTGAGGTGGTTGGACTTGGGGGGGCTGGAGAAGGCCATGAAGGAGAATTTCAAGGAGCTGGACGCGGTGGTGGGGGAGTGGCTGGAGGAGCATCGGAGGGAGAGAGACTCGAGAGGTGACCGTGACGACGGAGATTTCATCGATGTGATGCTGTCCATGATCGACGGGACCACGCTTCATGGGTTTGATGCGGATACGGTAATCAAAGCCACCGCAATGGTACGTGTTACGTTCTCTCTTACTTTCTGCACATGTGTTTTCTGTGGGTGATTAGTGTAATTAAGATCTTTGACTTTTTTTGAGATTACCAGGTACTACTAGTACTATACTACTGCGTTCACAACTTTTTAGTCTCAGTCCACACTTGAGAATCAACTTAGAATCAGACACTTTGTGTATATTTATGCTTTTTTTTTTTAATATACAAATTATCATTATTTTAAAAATTGAACTCCCCTATGACCCTATCCCAATCACATAATAAATGTGTCTTAAAAAAAAAAAAAAAAAAAAGTCTTACACTTAATGTTATCTTAATTTTTAATGTAATATTAATGATTTTTTCCTTATATTTATACTCTTGATTAATATCATGCATCTTTTAAAAAAAATGTAGTTGTGTTTATATTTTTTTATTAATAATAGTTATTTTATTTTTGCACTTATATATAAGACTATTTTTACTTTATGAGTGTAATAAAGTTAGTTAAGTTTCTTTATTTTTATTAGTTAGGATTTAAGATTGAATCCAATCTCTCTCTTATTTTATATCATTTCATGTAGACTTGCATTAGGATGGTTAATCAATTCATAATCCTACTAAAAATATTTAAAGATGTTGATGATTGACTTTAATCTTACATGGAGTCATGTCTTGTGAGAAAAACCATTTTGTAACAAAAAAATAAATGTTATTTCCAATCCTAATTATAGGCAATATAAGAAAAATTGTCACGATTAAGAAAAGTAATTAATATGACTATTTTTAATTAATTTTATCATAAATTCGTCTTTTATTTTATATATATCATTTCCTTTAAGAGATTGTTATATTTAATTTTAGTTATAAGTGGATGGATAGGAAATAGAATCAAAAATAAATGAAGGGTATAAAAGAAATTTAACCTTAAATAACTTTAAAAACTAATTATTGTTTCTTATTTTTAGGATAAAAGAAAATTTTAATTTGTTATTTATAATTATGACCAAAGGTACTCTTTTTATACCTATATATAAGCATAAATGCTTCTAATTTTTCACTTAAATATAAGAAAATTTCAACAAAATTAACTTTATTTAATACTTTTAATTCTAAAATACTCCTATAATAATAAAGGAGAACATTATCGATAATAAATATAATTAAAGATATTTTTAGTAAATATAACCTATAAAAATAGGAAATTGTTAAAATTAAATACATTTAACTATCTTTACTAACATGTGTGAAATTGATTTATTTTTTTACTTATATAAGTCCAAAGGAGTAATATGTAAGACTAATTTTATTTTATTGTTTGTCTTTGTTTATAAAACCTTTTTATCCTTATATCTTGCATTGATTATTTTTCTTACAATATTCTTAATTAAATAACGTTTCTTATACAAAATATAATTTAGTTAAAATTAATTAGATAAACTATTTTTCTCTTATTAGAATCAGAGAAATTGAGTAGGCATAGTTTTTAGAAGATTAAATTTTTTTAGCTACTATTTTGTTCCTATTTATAAAATTTAACTTAAAATAATTATTTAATCTTTTATATAAAAAATTCAATTTATATTATCTCATATATTAATTATTTTTAGACTAAAATATCTCTAAGTAAAGTATGCTCTCTTAATTTGGTTAAATACATTGATTATAATTTCTTTAAAGAGCATGCATTTTAATTTGTTAGGAAAAAATGAGTATATATTAATTAGGAGAAAAAAATAATATAAGACATACACTATAATTGATTAAAAGATATATATGAATATTAATTATAAAAAATAAGTAATATAAAGATAATTTTAGAAAGAAAGAAATATATATAGTAAATATATTGTTATCAACTAAATTATCTACTTTTTTTAATATTGGTGGATTAGGTAATTAAATCTTATATATATAAACATGTGATTATTAATTAATTAGATGATAAACAATTGAATAAAAAGTGAAATGGTGAGTTTAAAAAATATTAAATTTACATTTAAATAAATATTTTAAATTATAACAAAGTTATTGTAATAACTAAATTAATAATTTTCTTAAAGGTATAAAATGATTTGAAAGCCTCTCATATATAGCGAGAGGTAATACATTCTTTTATCAATTTATTACAGTAATTTTTTTTGTCTGTTAAAAGAAAAGTATAGGACAAGTGCATGGAAAACTAATAATTTAATATTTTTTTTTATATTGTAAAACTTTACACATATTAAAGAGCATTAAATATTCACTTACAAAGGACTTCTCTTGCCTAATTAATTGTAAGATTTCAAGAGAAAAAAAAACAAATTCTCACTTATATTTATTTAACCTCTCTCTTCTAAAAAAATCTATTTTACCTACTCACAATAAATCCTTTAAGAAAATATAAATTTCTCACTCATATTTATTTATAATAAATTTTTTCTTAAAATGTTAACCTCGTTCCTGTAATTGTTTTTATGCATTTAAAAGTGATATTTTTTTATTGGAAAAGAAAATATTACTGCACATATATATATATAT